CATTACCCCATCCCCGCTGTCAGTTACGTGTGCCTCTGTCTACATCGTAAAATATTTACCGAGTCTCTGTCATGACGCTTTCTCTTCCCCTCCCCCCCCACTCTCTCTCTCTCTCTCTCTCACTCTCCCGTCGGAAAATTGCTCTTGGCGGTATATCAAATTAATTTACATTAAATTAGAGGCATTTAGCGATCGTATCGTTGTATGCATGCACGCACAGTTAATACGGCATTATGAAGGATTAGAGCGTATTTTAGAGATACACATGCGTATAATACGTTATGCATACGTATATAATATGCCACATAATGTGGAAAACCCCGCGCACATGTGAGCCATATTGATTTAGTAATACTGCAGATGGCCAAACGCGATTTTAAATCAAGATGGATAGTGTAGTGTACGTAACGGCTTCGAGGGAGGACTCCCCGCCATTATAGTTAATTCGCATTCATCTGCCGTCGGAGAGCAACGCAGGAGGCATTACGTTTCTCATAACGGGAAACTCGACCTCTACGAAAGAAGACGGGGAATTAATCCGTAAATCTTACGCAAACATCGCCGGCATCTCGATCGGTATTCCCTCATAATTTGAAGAAGGCACTTAATTCCATCCGATCCCGCGGAATTTTACATTTCAAGAATTTTAACTGCAGCGGTTTGCATATAATGCAAAGTTATCCGATTGCGTTACATCTGACAGTTTTCCCAGGGATTCTTCAATCGGCCGGGAAAAACTTGTAATTGCACCGATCATCAAACTGTCCTATATATCGATCCCGACGATTTACAGAGTCGTAACTAGGGTACGCGAATTGGCGTGCGTTATTCGCATCGACTTTTGCACCACGTATGTAAGTACATACGTGTGTAGTAACCGTACGTGAACGGAAGTAGAAAATATTCCGGTCACCCACCCACACACACACACACACACACGCGCGCGCGCGCACACACACATACACATACATATACGCAAGTAAATCGCTAGCTACGACTCTGCGGGCCTTTGAGCAAAACATTAAGCTTGCTATTGAGACTAATGTGACTTGGCATTTCACGTGATTTCAGTCGAGGTGATGTTCCTCGTGTGGGGCATCCGGTTGTGCATCGTAGTAAGAAAGACTCCGTCGGAGTTTAATGAGAGTCGATTCATTTCAATGGCGATTTACAACGAATTTCTACTATCAGTCTTCCTCAACGTTTCAATGTAAGTTCACGTTATAAGATCACCTTCTTCCCCTGCCATTCATTATTCCGGAACGACCGATTATACAGCTCGTCCGCGGGAAGCACTCGCGAGGCTTCGTCGCCCTCGTAATTATATTCGTAACACGAGATTCGCTCACAAAATCATTTCTTCGCGCACGCGTTGAAAGAGACTCTATCAAATCGCTTCATTCGAATGATTTTCTTAATCGCGCGAGTTTACCGCTCGGCGTTGCGGTAATGCGGTCTCTTTTTTTATATTTAAATCTAATTAAATTCCACGGAATTTTATATTTGAAGAATTTAAACTGTGGAATGCATAATGTAAGTCAATTTAAAGCGACCCTTATTTTAAATGTAAATACCGTGTCGACGGTTTTTTTCAACGCGTTACCCACCTTAACTGCAATTTAATGACAGGTTTCCTTGACGAATTTATAATCAATTTTTTTCCCAACTTGACCTATTTGATATTGCGATTTACTCCAATTTTGTAATGCACAAGATTACATACCGCGACGGCATGTAAATTCTAAAACCGTAAATGTAAGTTCTTGTTTCCGTTGCTCGAGCGCTTCTCCTTTGTTAAATCTTCCGTCCAATTTCACCAAAGAAAAGAGATAACTGTGCATCAAACGCATCCGTCATTAAAACTTGATGTAATCAAGAATGTGGAACGTTCTAATTTAAGGGAGCAATTTGAATTTTCAAGATGGGGAAAACAAATAAAAATAACGTAACGTAAGATCTGGGACTCATGCACACACACAGACACACAGAGTATAGCGGCTCATTCTTACGTCACGATAGCGCTTCGTGCGGCTAACAGCTCTGAATAATTTCTTTCCCGTTGCTGCAGGTTGTTCCTGCAATCGCCGGCCAATCCGGATTTATTGTACATCATATTTTTCTGCCATACCCAGCTTACCGTCACATTGCTGCTCTGCCTGATATTCGGCAGTAAAGTAAGAAGTATTATTTATTACAGGTTTACCGTATGACAATCATTATGTTTTACGGCCTGACGTGCGCACTGTTACTTCAATCGGTCACACCTGTATCGATTATCTTGTACCAAAATTTTTCCACCTACTGAACATTATAGTTATGTATTTATTAATCCGCTAAGCATTATTTTAAGTTCACTTTGCGAGTACTTTGCAAATTTTAAATGGTTCTCTTCTTTCTTTCGATAAATTTACAGAGACTTCAATGTTTGAAATATTAAATATTGACAATTATCTCTAAGGAAGATAGCTCTAAAAAATTAATGAGAGTCTGTTTCCGACGGAATTTTCGTGCCATTTCGTGCTTTATTTGAACTAAATGGAAATGGGATAATATATTTCATCGAATGTAATTAATCTGTAAATAGATCGTTCTCCTCTTGTTCGAGATTTAACGAGAAAAGCAAAATAGAAGTTGCGGTATCGTATAAAGCTAAAATTTAATCGACACGAATGAGATTAAATCGCGCAATTTCTGCTTCGATTTCTATTTGCTTCTCCCTCTCTCTCCCTCTCTCTCTCTCTCTCTTACTTTCTCTTTGCAAGATTACTGCAAAGTCTTCCTACTAGCTTGAATAGAAACCCCGATACTGTGTAAGTTTGGTTGTTACATACATTGCATTTAACGAAGGCTTACGTGGTGTTTCGCGACGGAGGGAAGGAGGAGACGATCGGCAAACTTTGCGGCGCGACCGGCAAGTTCCTGGGGAAAAGCAGTCGTCCACAGGGTACTAGTAACCAGACCAACTCGATATCACTTCAGCAGGGTAATTTTGCCGAAGAAAGCGACTCTGTCACGGTAAGCACCCCGGTAAACCTATCTCGGATCCCACGGTCTCTGTGGAGCGTATCGGATGAGCCGTGCACTTTCCCTAAATATAATCTACCTAAATATAATATAATCCAATCTATATAGACCTATAGATTTGCAACAAATCCTGATTGCATTGCTCTAATGTTATCCTCATGTTCGAATCATAAAGCCTCAAAGTTTCAGACTCTCAAAGTTTTTAGAATCCCAATCCTCCGAGCTCTTTAAAGCTTGAGACTTTAGAGTTTTGGTAGATTTTGAAATTTTAGAATATTTCTGTCTTTTACATCTATAACTTTAGAATTTTAAAATCTTATATTCTTCGAATTTTAGGAATCTTGGAACTTCTTCGTCATATTTTAACCCGTAAAGGCTACGTTTCTTTTGAATGGTTTTGTTTAACACGAAGTTTTGAAAAGAATTATGTTCTTTTTTCAAAAATTTAATATTACCAATCGATTGGTCAGAAAATTTTACATTAAGAAATACACATTTTGCTTTAATTTTGCTTTTTATTTTCAGAAGATATAAAACTTTAAAAACGCTTGATGCGAATTCGCACCCAGATGTCCTTTACGGGCTGACCTTTATCTAAAATTTAAAAATGTTTACACTTCAGCATTTTAGATTATAGATATAAGATAAGGATGGCAAGAGAGAAAGAGAGAGAGAGAGATGGCAACTTCTTTCCAGGAGGAATTTCGCCGTTTGCTCAACCAGTTAGAGGTACTGAAGGAGAAGAACATATTATTAGGAAATCAGGAGCTGTCCAGGAAACTGGCAGCCATGCTGGACGCTTCGAGTCGAGTCGAGGCTCAAGTATCCACTATTCAAGCCATTTCGACTAGCATCGTTCAGTTGAATGATCTCAATAAATCGACGAAGGAAACTAATCTCGGACAAGCTTGTCAGGAGCAGACCCGAGCAGCAGCAGCAGCAGGTAACAGAGAAACTTTAAAAAAACATGCGCCGAATTTTTCTCGAAAAGTCAGCGGGATTGTGAAATATGTGTTGTAACTGTTTTTCATTAGCACGTCCGGAAATAAAATCTCTCGTCAATAAAAGTTCTGTATGAACTGACTGAGGAAAAAACATTTTATTCATATGTACATTCGGAGGTCGGAGCTAGCAGCCGCGGAAGTAAAATCAGAGGAATTTATCCGGTTTAAAAATGGCATGGATTTAGGAATATGATCGTAACTCTGGAGACGGGGGGATAAAATTAGAAAAACTGGAAATTCTGACAAAAGCGATATATATGGCCCGCATATTTCATTTATATTTAAAGTTGGAAATTAGGGGGAAGGGGAAGGCAAGAAATTGTTCCTGGTACATTGAAAGAGTCGAAAAAAAACGAAAATGAACGGCATTATGAAACAAACTGCCCCGAAAATTGCCCCGGTTAATTTAAATTTACTGTGAAAACCGGAAGTCTAAACGAGAGCTTTATTCATTCACTCGCCCTCCTTTATATCCGTTCCGGATGATCTATTAATTTTGCACCGCACTCTCGTGGAGCTCTGCGGACAGATAATTCTATCTTTGTTTAGGAAACGGTTCTCAGGGTGAAAATCGATGTCGCGCTTGTATTGAGAAAAACGGACTTGGGGGAAAGGACGTGCGGGATACGTCGAAGGATAATGAGACGGCGGAGCCGAGGAAAATCGGAAAAGACATCGCCGTGTCAACATCTTCGAAGCACGCTATCGAGGACGCCGGTAAGGAAATGTGTCATGGGAAAGACGGCAAGGAAGCCGATTCGAAGGACAAATCCAGGAGCAAATCCGGTCACGCCAGGACACACGCCATAGTTATCAACCTCGACGACAAGAGCAGATTTTCCGAAGAAGTTACCGTGTAACCGTTACCTTACGTGAAAAAAAGTAAACGGTTAAAGTAAACGCAGTTTTCCGACATTTCTGTAATTGAAGATTTTATCGCGAGTGAAATATTATTTTTTCTCTCTTTATTGAAAATTATGATTACATTAATCACAAATTTTTGAAAAAGTTGACATTTCCCGATAACAATCAATTAGAGTATGGAATTCCATTAAATAAAATTAATGAAGAAATTTTTGTCCGTTATTAATAATAATAATTGATTCTACGTAGAAAAGAAATACAAAAAATTCTAGTTCGTTCGAATTCATAAATTATATCATGAATAATTTAAACCGACACTTGAAAGAAGTTTTTCTGAATTAATAAGATTGATTAATCTTCCGATTGTCGAGCGAATAATAATTCCAATGACAAGTTGGAAATTTCAAATGTCGAAGAATGTCTCGCAGATCGTGAAGATTTGCTGAAAACGATGATTGATCTGAATGAAAGTTAATTAAGCGATCGTTTAGTCATCGTGAATAATAATCGTTCGCATGTTAATGAAAGAGCCGCGGCACATATCGATTTTTCATATTTCGGTGTATATCAAAGAAGTATCCGTGAAATAGCAAAAAAAAAAATTGAAACATTATTAGATTAATCACGTCGTTTGGCATTTTCGAGCGAGACCGATCGCGTTCTAGTGCATCATTAATGAACTGTTCATTAACCCTTAGGGAGTAATCCGCCCTTTCCAGCAGCAAATCGATCTCGGGCTACGGGCTTTCCAAGATCAAAATGTGCTTCGTCAGCGTGTTCGCGGATCACAAGATAGCCTGCACCTGTAATTATGTATTAATGTAAAAGCAAGTTAAGGCAAGGGATAAGGCTCATTAACCCTTTCCAGCTCTCCGAGATGCCGCACGGTATTATTAAAATTATGCGATCGTTTTAATTAAGTTCCTAAGATCGTGTTAAATATGTATGTATATGCATATAAATGTGTAATATAATATATTATGTTATGTAATTATAAAATAATTACAGTAGTGTAAAATAATACGAAATGTGCATTAAACCATGTCCCATGATGTTACACTATATTGTATATTATATTTGTCAGCGATATTCTATTGTATTATATTGCAATCAGAGATTATATAATAATTAAAACGTGTAAATGTAAGTATAAATTTATCTAGGGAAACAAATTGCCGATGTAAAAATAATTTGGGCTTGAAAGGGTTAAGGGAATCAATTTTTTATGCTATCTTTTTTTGCTAACGATCTTACATGATGTGTGCAAATGTCGGTAATTCGCTCAATAAAGCTGCAAAAATTTTAATTGTTGTATATTTAAAAGTCTCAATCTATAAAAATGGATTGAATTATCTGATTCGTGTGTTTTATA